GTAGTATCCTTCCTTCTTTCCTTTCACCTCTCTTTCTCCATCACTTTTTTCCTTCCTTCCTCCCTCCCTTCCTTCCTTCATTCCTTTCTTCCTTTCTTCCTACCTTCCTTTCTTCCTTCCTTCCTTCCTTCCTTCCTTCCTTCCTTCCTTTCTCACTCTCTTCTTTCGTTCCTTTTTTAATTCTTCGATCAATTCTGTGCATAACAACTTTATTGTTGTTGAGCACAAATCAAAGATCTAATACATAATCCTATGTTCAAGGACTATTTAAAAAACCATTCTACTATGATGATGTTGGCAATGGCTCTTCATTCTTTGAAATGATCCTATCAGCCACTGGTATTTCCCATTTTTGGTAATCAGGAAATTTGCCACTAATGAAAATTTTTAAGAGGAATATTATGAGGACACACAATGAAAGCTGAACAATTGAATTGAAGCTTCTTTTGTTAATAGTGTGTTTCAACCTCCAGATTTAGCTAATCCTGACATTTCTAAATAGGAATATAATGGTGGAAGAGGTTTGTGTGTTTAGATTTTTCTGAAACCTAATCATTATACATTTATTGGCTTGACAAATTATTTCTGTATACTGCAAACAGACACATGGGTTTTTCATTAATAGATATGTCAAAGGGGTACAACTATGATTTTCACATGTTACTACAAAACAGGAACAGTCATCAAATGTTTCTTTGTGTAATTCTCCCATGTTGCTTCTGATGAAAACTTGCCCAGCACCAACTAAATTTGTACATTGCTTTGCAATGAGTGGTGAAGTATAGAAAGTTATGCTGTGTGTGATTACAGCGCAAGGAAATGCTTATTCCTGCCTTGATTTCTGGTGAAGAATCACCTTATATTGCAGGACTGGTACATAAACCTATAGATGTGAACCTCTATATGTTGTAACCTATAGGATGTAACCTTGCTTAACAAGTCATAGGGTTGAAAGATGATCATAAGAAAATGGAACCTCTAGGGGCACCTGGGTGGCTCAGTCCCTTGAGCGTCTGACTCCTGGGTTAGGCTCAGGTGATGAACGCGGAGTCTGGTTCATGGAATCCGGCTTTGAATTGACAGTATGGAGCCTGCTTGGGGATTACCTGTCTCCCTCTCTTTCTGCCCCTCCCCCCCTCACGCACGAGCACTCTCTCTCATTC